TATACTTATATGTAAATATATTTGAGAATGTATTTTAATACTTGATTATATTTAGAAATGCTCATTTACAACTAAATATTTCATCCATTGGTGTTTTTGTTTCTTTTTGTTTTTACATTTGGATGATAATTTACGTAGTAAATGAGCATACAACAAATGCCGACGTAATAAAAGACAATGGCCAAAACACAAATTGTGTAGAAAAGACTAATAGATTCTAAAATATTGTTTGGTGGATAATATATGAATAAGCCCACACATATGATATTTTCTATCGAACAAATTAGATAGTACAACGCATATTTGTATCTCGTTGGTGCCTCCTTGACTGGAATGTAAATGAATATGTAAACGAAACCTAATGCGATGCAAAAGAGAAAATTATTAATAGAAATAATGCTGGTGAATTCCGGACGTTCCACTATGTACGTGACGAATCCCAATATGACGGCGTGCAGAACGCAAGCAACTATTGTCCAGACGGGAAAAATCACAGCCACAAAAGCAATACAAAGGATGCGCGATACTAAAAAAGTCAAAATAAAGTATTTTTCGTTTTATCATGTTTAATTTTGCTTACGTGAAATACAAAAGTGCCAACAGAGATGTGGCGCCATATTCCAATAGCTTAACTTATTTTTATTTGGTTGCGCGGCACGTATACATCGATTATAACTGAATAACGTCCATGGTACGCTCGAAAGATAAAGTAACACACTAAGTATTTGTGTATCTGTTAAAACAAAGTTTAAAAAAATTCTATATTTTTTATTGAAAAAAATGTACGAAACAATTGCGAATGATTCTCAGATTCCGATAACAATTTAAATCATGTTTTGTAGCTAATGGTAATAATATAATATTTACAATGTCGTAATATTTACGTAATACTGAATTCAATGTACTTGAATATACATTTATTATCGTTATAAAATTTGGCGCATTTCTCCACGAACCATCATCGGATCACTATAGCATTTAGCTGCCATAAAAACTGAACGTTCAAAATCATATTCTTGTATGGAAAACTTAATTGTTTAGCAAGATGAAATCCGGAAATTGGGAATTGCAACGGTGCAATCTTCGAAATATTTGTTCAGATCGGACCACTAAAGCACATATGTAGCCAAATACTTGTTTTTATACGGAAAACTTTTTTATTTGACGAGATATTTTCACGTACTTTGATATAGATTATTGTCTAAGCAAACAGCGCAAACTGACTGCTCAAGATAAAAGTTTTTGTACGGAAACTACTTTTTGTGAAGGGTATTATATCTTCCATAATACCGAAGCTAACATGTGCTCTTGTTTTCAATAAAATCTATTAATATCGCACTTTCGGTCAATATAAATAAATTTACTGTTACCAGGTAATTTGAGTTTAGGCATTATAAAACTTAATTTGTTTGTGGTTTTAATCATTTAATTAATTAGACGTACCTGTGATTTGATTTTCTTGCATTAGTATTATTGATATTTGCAATATTTTTTGTGGAGCCGTTTCCATGAAACACTCAAACAAACGAATCAAAGCAATGTCGCTTTCTTCTTTCGTAGTGCGATTGTAATAACTGTAAATAATGATACTCATACGTATAATGAAATAATTAGTAATAGCATTGCTATATTGCCTACTCTGATTGCTCATCTCGATTTTGTTGCAGTTCTGCACGTTTACATTTTAAGGAATATATAAGCGTATTCCAGTATCTAAAAAAAACACTGGTTAATGGCAATTTATATATGCATACTATATATATTCTTTAACCTGAGAAAAAGTGAAGCCACTATAACCAGCAATGTCGTTTTCGTTGCCTTCTTGAATCCGCCATCAAATTTTTTATCTTGATAACACCTAAAAATATTTTAAAATTCAGAGCCAATCAGTATTTCAAATATTTCTAATAGCGTTGTTAAAAGTTATTTAAACGGGGAAGTATTTATGAATTTTTTGTTTGCTCTAAATGAATGTATAATATCTGAAGAATGTTGTGACTTATTTCAATTTTCGATCGTAACGAAATCGACAAAGTTACAAGTTTTTTTTATACCTTCCTTATGAACAATTTACATCAGATTTTAAAACTTTAAAGTAATAGTAATAATTTGCAATTATTCAACGTACATTGTAGCATATATCAGCGCTGTGACACACATTGGCACCACCATGCATACCACTGTCCAAATGCAATAACTTTGTTCTCCTTGTTGATAATAGTCCACAGCCAATTTGATATTGAGTAACACAGCAATTACGCGTATCAATATGGAAATAACTGTCATGCCTATCTCGAAGTACGAAATTGTTTCATTCATCCGCTTGCTTGCTTCAGTATCAATCTCATCCCCGAAGGTACCATCTACCTCCGTTTCCATACATTGTGGCAAAGTGTTTTTTAGTATGCACCGACTTTGAGTGTACTTCATCCATTCCAAAAGGGTAGAAATGTTATTCGTTGAGGCCATTACTACTAATATATTGAAAACTAAACATTCCAAGCGTATTGCTGCTCGCAGGTGATCAAATTCATTTATTAAACGCCTGCGCAGACTGATAATTATGCATTCATTTTCTTCGTTATATTATGTCCTTCTATTTTACGTGAAAATGTTAAACTGAAATTTCTTGTATATTCTCGGTAATTAATACCATAAAAAAAATTTCGCGATCAATACTTAGCCACAACAAAACAAGCAAAACAAAAAAGATTGTGCGAAAAAAAAGAAACTATCAGACAGCTGATGGTGTAAACTAGATCGATAAAAGTCGATCGATTACAGCGGCGTTGCCAAAACAGAAGAAATATCGAAAGGAGGTAAGATCCAATATCCATTTTTTAAATTTCCTGTCTACACTGAGCGAAAAATTCAATAAAGGAATAAAGCGCATTTATTGCAACAACCGAAGCAGTTATACACATACATACATGGTTAGCAAACAATGCATTGAAAAAAATGGAATTCACTTTTGAATTAACTGTTTTCCATTATTTTTTTTAGTTCCCAATTCGGAAATCAAAATTTAAAATAAAAAAAACTATTAGTCAAAAGTACCGGATTGATAAAAAATTAATCCCAAGCATTTATTTAAAAAATAAAAAGAAAACAATTTGTTTCAGAACTAACACTAACATTACTTCCATTTTGAACTAGGTCAGCAACTTTCAAACGCATTAATTTAA